AAAAAGGAATAATATTTCTTTGATCTTTTCTCATAATTCTCACTTGGGTGGGAGTTGCAACCTCTTTGAAAATTCCCTTATCCCCAAGTGCCCTATGTTCGAAGAAACCGTGAATTTCAAAGAAAAAAAAAAAAAGGGTCTAAAACTAATTGTCGTCAAAAGCACGCGTTCAGTAGAATGCGGTCGTTTTCCAACATCTACTACTCAGATTTTCAAAGATTTTGCACTACATTTTATTCAATCTCTAGAAGCATGTTTGATCTAAAACATTTTATTGTGTGTGAAGCACCCAAAGGCAAAAAATTAATTTGTGGATCTACCATATATTTCCTCTAATAAGTTGAGGAAATAAAGCTCTTGGTATGTTTTTTTTTTATTAATTTTTATATTTTTTATGGAATTTTTGTATATTTTAAAACTAATCATTTCAACTTGGTTCATTTTAAAATGTTAATTTTTTTAAGTGTTAACTCAAGATTTAAATTCTAAATTTAATTAATAAAATAATATTTACTTATAAATTATACTAACCCCACTCTCGATATGTTTTAATTGTTTATAGAAATTTGGTAGTGGGTTTCCTACTTTGCTTCATCCACCATATATTTCCTCAAATAAGTTAGCCCATGCACTAATGACTCAACAACCAACTCAATTATTTGCATTGATAAATAATCACGTGTTTTCTAACCAACCCCGTCATCAATTATTTATACACTATATGTTGAAACCAAAAACATATAAGATGGCCAAATTTTCCTTTTCCATAATGGAGGAAGAATGGTGAAATTTGCAAATTGCCTCAAAAATTATTGCTTTTGAATTGGGTTGAAGTGAATTATTATTAAAAAAAATATTGATGTAATTTGTCACTTTAACTTTTAATTTTATTTTAAAAAATAATTTGAATTTAATTGTTATCATTAAATTTCATTAAACTATTATTCTTAAAGTGTAACATAAAATTGAGCGATGCTATAGAGACAACCTTTTTATATCATCTTTTAATATAATTTTCACATGTTATTAAACAAATGGATACATTCAATATCACGGAATTCACATGAATAAAAAGAACTAATTATGTAAATGACATGTCATATTGTATAAAAAGATGAGATAAAAAAATTATTTCAAAATCATTTTCCCAAAAAATTAATGATAATTGTTAAATTTAAATCAATTTCTTAAAAAAAATTAAAATAATAAATTGTATCAATATTTTTTAAAATAATTATTTATTTTAACACGTCTATTTTAAGGAGAAATATACACTTTTTTTTGCCAAGGAGAATTCCATAGCTAATCCCTTAAAGAACAAGAAACTTGCATACATTATCAAGGGAGGAAGAATTCGAACTCATATCTTATAAGCAGGAAACTTACAAATTAGCAACCTCGAGTGCAATCATAAACCATTCTCGTCAAATGTATAAAATATTTACACCAAATAATGTAAGTTCAGCAGCCGAACCACTACCATAACTCACCTACCCATTGAAGAACAAAACAGAAATGAAAAGAACATGTTATTTAATTAGATGTTATTTAATTAGTTCTATCATCCAAAAAATGAAATCTTATTAATTCTCTGGTACTCTTGTCCCAAACATACCCACCTGTGTCTCATCTCACGTGATTGAAATTAATTTGTGGTTTATTCGTATAAAAAAAGGAATAGTGGTTTTTTTAGAGTACATAGTTGTACTTACATATAAGAACAAGAGGTTGTTATGCATTTTGAAATGCACTGTATTACATAACTAAAATTATTTGAATTATATTATATTATATAATTAAAATTATTCAATACATAAATCAAGTTTTTGGATCCAGTGATTCGTCAAAACTTGAGTGTAGTTCGTTGAGAGTTTGACTTTCATTAACAATTTAAAAGGAAATTCTCCATTCTCAAATTCCTTCAAATATATATATACATATTTAGTACATACTAAGTCACTTAATATTAAAAGTTAATTTTTTTATTTAATTATTTTAATTTTATAATTTAATATAATTTAAAATGTAAAATAAAAAATAATATATAAATTAAGAAAAAAAAAAAACCTACCTTTGCGGGAGCTTAAATCCATTAGGCCACAAGCAAAGTTGTGGGGCCTCAATTAATGTGTTAAATACAAAATAGTACGTTAATTTTCTTTTTTATCCCAAGGGCCCAAATTTCATTACCATTCCTAAATTTTTGTCCTTCAACCCAAAAGCAACCCACCACTTCCAATTATAATTGTATGGATTGAAGACAAGAAAAATCATTTGCTAGGCATCATATTTTTCTTTCCTTCGTCCTTTTTATAAAAAAAATATATCATGTTGGGTTTGTGAGAGAGGTGTTTCTTTTTTTTTGGTTATTAACAGAGGTAATTTTCCCAAATACCACAAGAGTTTGAACACTGCACTCACTCAGGGGTGTCTTTCCACATAGACAAGTGGGTATTGCCACTTTACCTGGCGTGTGGAAGACAGGTGTTTAAGAAAGAATAAAAAGAATTTCAATATTAAAAATAAATATATTTATCAAAGATAATCTAACCCCACAAATTTCCACCTCACCATATTTTTTTTTTTTTGGAAAATCATGCAAACAAATTCCACCGTCCAATTGGAAGTGACCCTTTGGTCTAGTGCAGATCCAGTTGGCAAAATATCCATGAAATATCTAAGCACAAATGCATTTTCTGCATTTCATAACTGCCCTTCATCATCTTCCCCACACACAATTTCAATGTTCAAGCCAAAACTAGGAGCATTTGGACTGACTCTTGTTTGTTTTTTTGTTTGTGGTATTTTCCCAACATCACTCATTGTGATCGTCCTAATTGCACGATAATGAATTTGTAATGATACTCTGCTTTGAGCCATCCTTCTATGTCTTGTCCTTTTTCTCTGCTCTATGGCTCCACCATTTTCATATGATTGTACCTTTTCATATTATGTCTCGGTGTTTGATGCCCATCCCATGCCCAACTTAAAAGCTTTCCAAGAATAGTCAATTTAATCTGAGTTTCTATTTTAGCAGTGAATAAAGTTATGAACTTTTTTTCTCAATCCAACGCGCCTTTGAAGGTGGACCATTATTAAGATGATATTAGACCTTGGGTTTAATTAATTCATGTGGAATGATACTTTATTTAAGAACTTTCAATTTTATCAACAATTTAAATAATTTAATAATAATTTCATTTTAATAATAATTTCATTTCAATAAAAATAAAAAATTTTGAATTCAAGTAATATGACATACGAGTGAATTGACTTAAAGAATGAAAAGAAAATTACTTCAAGGAATGAAAAGAAATTGCCTCTATTATGTAACTTAAAATTAAAAAAAATTCAATTTTAATAAACTTACGTGTGTAGAAAAGATCCAAATAAAAATGTTAACATTACATTTTTTTAATTTAAAAATATTAACTTTATCAATTTTTAAATAAAATTACTAACTTTCAATTTTTTTAATTTATAAATATCAATTTTTAACTTTTTTTATTTAAAAATATCAACTTTTAACTTTCTATTTAAAAATTAATTAAATGATAATATTAATATGGTAAATAGATTTTTTAATTAAAATGTTGAAACTTGATTATCTTAAATAAAAAAATAAAAATTAACATTTTTATTTAAAAATTAATAAAATTTAAAATTTAAAATAAAATTAACATTTTTAAATAAAAATACAAAATGAATATTTTTATTTACATATTTTTTCTCCTTACCACGTGAGTCAGTGAGAGGATGTATTAAAGCACTAAAACAAATTCCCTAACTTCTGCTTAACTAGATTTTCACTATATAAACGTATCTCGATTGTCATAAATTTTATTATTTTTCTTCTATCATTGATTGGCTCTAAATCATGACTGAATCTTCAACCCCTCATAAGTTCTTTTCTTTTTAGACAAGAGAGCATAGTTTTCAATATTGTGTTTGGTTAACACCTCTTATTGTCTGTTTCCCATGTATTTGGTGGGTTTTCTTTTCTTCTCCCCTTAAACAAAATGTACAAATAACCAGACAATGAAAACTGGCATTAGGCATTAAACTATTGGAAGTGAGAAATGACTTAATGTCCACACAAGTTAGCTTGGTTGGAAAGAGAAACTAGCAGCCTATAGTAGTGGAGCTGCCACCACTACAAAACCAAACCTTTTTCACTCCCTTTATAGTACAAATTAACTGTGTAACCAAATGCTAAGGTCAATGCCATATATATATACGCTGCTTATCCTATCCCTAGCTTTGTCTATTCAGCCACTTGTCCATGAAGCTCCCACCTTTTGTTTCTTTTTCTTCTCTTACTTTGCAGGTTCGTATAAGGCTCCACATACTACCCCATTAGTACAAAATATAATCAAGCCTTAGTAATCTATTTTGTTTGTATTGCATGCCTATTATAAAAGTTTCTGCCTTTCGAGATTATATTAATGTAATTTTGCTTTATAGAAGTATGACATGAAATAACAGATTCTTGAGTTTATGTTCTATTCTTCTACTCGTTTTAGCTTTTAAGTAAATCTGATATCATTTCCTCACTATTGGTTCGGTGAAAATAAAGTGATTGCATGGGTTGGGAATTTTAAAAAGGGGGGACATTTGGCCAAAATGCATGTGGGAAAACCAAAAGGGGAGGATGTGGGCAGTGTTTTGATCCTTTCCTTCCAATGTTAAAAGCAAATGTTAAGGTAGATGGCAAAGTTAAAGGCAAATAAGAGAAGGAAGAAGAAGCCAAAGGGTTGGATACATTAGTAAGTAAGTATTGATTTATAAGTTATGTTTAAAGTTCAAGTTATAGGATTAATGTTGAGAAAATTAATTTATTTAAATATATTAAGTTGATATGAGAGTCTGTCTTTAAAATTACTTAGGGATAAATTAATTTAAAGATATGTAAAAATTGATTTATGAACACTTTAATTGTAAATTACAAAATAATAATAATAAGAATAATAAAAGAAGAGAAGAAAGAAGAAACGTTACCCCATGTGGTATGGTATTTGGGGCAAACTTTCTTTGTTTGGTAAAAGTATCTACCAAAAGTAAAGAAAACCAAAATGAATTATAGGTGGACATGTAACAAACGATTCAATAGGGAAGGGAGAAGTAAAGAAAGGAAAATTTAAGGGGTTGATGAGCAATACAGCATTATAAAATTTTCTTTATTATATTGAGGACAAAAGATCGCAAAATGTTTATTTTTCCCCCTCGTTAAAATCCACCCCTTGAAGGATTCATCCTTGCTTGGAGAACACCACAGTCCAAGTTAAGGGTGCTCAAAACCAGTCCCCGACCATACTCCACGGCTACCTAACCAACACGCACGCGCTCGCACGCGCCTCTTTCTGTAGCCAAACCACGCTCTAAAAGAGAAACCATCTCTCTCTCTCCTCTTCATTCTCTGCCTGTCGTGTTTGTTCTGTACATATAAAAGAAAAGAAAAAAAAAAAAAAACCTTGAAAAGTAACAAAGACAGGCCTTTCATTCTCTCTCTTTAATTCATTCTCTCTCCGAATGGGGTGCTTAGGTATTGGTTGGGAGTCAAATCTGGAGGAATCCGTTTCAGGGTTCTCTACCAATTGAAGGAAATACTACATATAGCCCATTTCATGTTCCTGATGTTCTTTAATGCTTCCTTTGAAAAGAGGTTACTCAATCTTCACTATTGAGAAGTTGTGTTTTTGGCTTTTTAACCGTTTTCCCTTAGCCAAGTTTCTTTTGGTTTTTCTCTTAAATCCGGAGACTTTGGCCGAATCTAGCAACACCCATTTGGTCAGTGTCTCTGGAACCGGCCTTAAAACAGGTATGCGACTATGTTCATGATGGGTTTCTGTCATTTCCCCTCTCTGTTTTCATGTTCTTTTGTTTTTCATTGATCTGTTTTCTGTCTTCAATCTGGTGATGTTTGGTTTGGTTGTTGATGTTGTTGCTTTTTAGTTATGTGGGGGTTTTTGATGTTTGATTGATACTTGATAGGAACGCGGGCTTAATCTCCTTCTCTACCCAACCTAACATTGCTTTATTATGATGTTTAAGTCGCAGAGGACTTTGTTAGGGTTTGTTGTTGAAATTATGGTGGTCTGTTTTCTGTAGAAAAGAAGAGAACTTGGTTTTGGATTCACAGACCTACTGTAATAAATCTGGTTAAAAGACTTCCCCTTTATATCGTTTTGTTGTTCTTCTCTTTGAATGTTTCTCTGCTTTTGTTAGTAACAAATCAGTGATTTGCATTTTCTGTTTTTAATTCATGTCCATATTGGCTGATTGGATTTCAAAGCCATAAATGTATTGCTATATATTAGTAATACCTGATTAATTTTCTGTTTGATTTTGGCCAAATAATTATTTTCCCCTAATGATGTTCTCTCTCTCCAATTCTGGGTCTGGTACTCTTTGGTTCTGGCTAGGCATTTGATTAAATGGGTCTTTGTTTTGTTGTCCTACTTTAGTTCTACCTTCTTCTGGCTTTGCCTTTCATCTTGAATATTGCTGGTTGGTATTCTTAATCAGATGATTCTTGCCTCATTCTGGCAATTTATCAGAGATGGTCATGCATTTTATCCCAATCTTTTGAAAGGTTTATTTTCATATGGGATATTGGGAATCGTATTTCTTTAAACATTAGATCTTGAGGCTTTGGATTTTCATTTTTGATTGCCACATTCATTGCCTGGCAACATTATGCATTCTTATTATTAAGGGCAGATCTTATTCTGATTTTTTTTTTTTTTTCTTAATAAGTACTCTTTTATTGGATTGGTAAACCAGGTATGATTTGTCTATTTCTAAGCTTGATCATGGAACTACTTTCGTTTGGGGGAAGGGATGGGGATTATGATTTTATTTCTTCGTTGTGCATCTGAAGGGGTTTCAACTGTGAGATCTCAAAGTTTTCATATTCATATTGTAAGCTTCTTGGATGAGTTGGTTATGTTAGAGACTTAGAGTCTATTGTTTCTCTTCAAACATCATTTAGTATCTCGAAAATGAGAAGGGAAATATTGTTGGCTTCTGCTAAATAAACATCCTATTTATTGGAATACCTATTCTGTGCCATCTCTCAAGTGGATCTTACTCTTCTTAACTTTGTGATCTCTGTGATTTATTTCCACTTAAATACTTGTTAGATATCCTCTGGTGCTTCCACTTGTATTAGGACCAGACCTAGGATTTCGTATTTCTTCTTAATTTATCACTTTCTATGGTGATCACATTGTATGTTTCTTAGAAATTTTCTTTTCTCTGTCTAATCTCAGAAATTTTTTATCACTGCTTCTGATCATGGAGGGAGAAAGTTCGTGGATCAGCCATTACCTTGATGACATATCAAAAGACAATGGCGAGTTTGATACTTTCTCAGAGCTTAGTGATGACAGCAATAAGGAAGCTGTAGTTTCTGTGGACTTGATCTTGCCTGATGACTTGTTGGAACGAATCTTAGCTTATCTTCCCATTGCAAGTATTTTTAGAGCCGGTTCCGTGTGCAAAAGATGGCATGAGATTGTAAGTTCAAGAAGGTTTTTGTGGAACTTTTCCCAGGTATTATCACAAAAACCTTGGTATTTTATGTTTACGAGCTCTGATGAACCAGTTGGTTATGCCTATGATCCCATCCTTCGGAAGTGGTACAGCATTGATCTCCCATGCATCCAAACACCAAGTTGGATCATTTCCTCGTCTTGTGGCTTGGTTTGTTTCATGGACAATGACAGCAGAAGCGAGCTGTATATCTGCAACCCCATCACCAGACTCTGCAAGAAGATTGAGGAGCCCCCAGGTTTGATATTTTCTGATTATAGTGCATTGGCTATCTCAGTAAACAGGACTTTGCGTAATTATACTATCTCCATCGTAAAGTCTAAGCAAGTTCCTGGAAATTTTTTCCAGTGGGATCTTTCGATTCATATTTATGAGTCTGAAACAATGATGTGGATGACTTCCTTGACAGAGGTTTTGACAGGGTGGAGAGGCGGAGATGAGAGTGTGATCTGTGGTGGGGTCTTATACTTTTTAATTTACTCAACTGGTGTAGGCACATCAGAAAATCGCCATGGTCTAATTACGTATAATCTCACTAGCTGTTCTGCCCCACTAATTAGGAGTTTTATTCCCGTACCTGGCCCTCTTACATGTGGCCGTCTGATGAATCTAAGGGAAAAGCTGGTAATGGTGGGAGGAATTGGGAAACAAGATCGACCTGATATTATCAAAGGGATTGGGATCTGGGAACTTAATGGGAGGGATTGGCATGAGGTTGCTAAAATGCCCCACAAGTATTTCCAAGGATTTGGTGAGTTTGATGATGTTTTTGCCAGTAGTGGCACAGATGACCTGATATACATCCAGAGCTACGGAGCTCCAGCTCTTCTTGTTTTTGACATGAACCTGAAACAATGGAAATGGTCGCAGAAGTGTCCTGTGTCGAAGAAGTTCCCACTTCAGCTCTTCACCGGTTTTTGTTTTGAACCCAGGCTTGAAATTGCTCCCTAGGTTCTTACTGATTGGATTTCATATGGTTGCGTTGATAAATTTGTCCAGAAAATTCAAAGTTTTCCCTTTGTTTGCCCTTATCCAGTTAATCATTATGAATGAATTCTGTTTCTCAAAAGTTTACACATAATGTAAATCAGATAAATCTCTGCTCATATATTTGTGAAATGGGAAATGTTAATTCTTTTGCACTGTCTTACGCATCATTGTGAATCTCTACGGTTAAACTTGTGTATTAAGACAGTCTAATTCTGCAAGGACCAGAAAGTTGCCTATTTCCAAGGAAAACTATTGGGATGGTTGTTGTTGTGTTTCCTAGGTTTGGTAGATTTGCCATCCCCAGATCAAAACGTGGAGATCTCTA